TTTCTCCAGTTCATTTTTCAGAAATCTGATCATTTTACTCTCAAGATTCTATGATTGAAGAAAAGAGAAGAACAATGTTTAACCAAAAGATTCAATTCACACACAGTTGTTTATCCACAAAATACTCAATAAATGAAAATACTGCGACACAGCACAAACATGACAGCTAGAAGTATCACACACCAGACGCACACATTCACATGTTATTTAAAATGAAACTATTCAGATGGTGAAACAGAATATGAAGTGTCCTGAGTCAGAGCTAGGCACCCTAATAGAAATCTGTGTGTGGCGGTGCTGCGCTGTGTGGTGCCAAGTGGCACATCCGGTGTGTGAGCCCCTTTACATATCACTACTGCTGAATGATTTCAGATATTTCACAGCTACAAAAGACAAAAATCACACCAAAACACAACACAGTCTCTGAGTAAGATGTTTAAGTGACTAGTCCAACACACTATGTAGTCCTGTTTTAAAAAGGTCATCTGTGTTTATACGTCTATTACACTGATATATGGAGGAATTGACTCTGGTCTGTTGATTTATCAGAGAGTAATGCACACCAGATATATGATGTCAATCTCCATAAAAACAGCTGAAATACTCATTTTGATCATGCTGATGGGACAAACACAGATCTGAACAGTAAAGGTTATTATCATTTTTATTTGTTTACATTCATAATCACAACTAAACTATATGTTCATGTAAAATGAGTGAAACTGACAGGGAGTCGTTTCTCTCTCTGTGTCTTCTGTCAACATGACTGGCAAACATGTCAGAGAAAACAGCTGAATCTTCAGGAGCAAACTCATTTAGAAAACAAAAGCTCTTTATTTTAGAAATCTGTATGAAAAGAGTGCAAAGCAGAACTCTGAGCTCATCAGCCGGCTCATCACATGACGAGTATTTTAAGAGTGTTTTGTGATCATCCTGAAATTACAGAGTGTGTTTCTATTGGGGACTAATTCATCATCTCCTCCCGTCTGCTTCTACTGGGCTGTTTGTCGTCTCCAGTCTGCATTTCAGAAATGTGTTAAATAAGACCCTCTCTCACCTCACGCCTCCAGTGCACACAGGGCATAAGTGGCGTAATATTAAAATATTATATATATTATCACTAATATTGGATGCATCACTCTGCCCTACCCATACATAATGTACATTCATTATTATATATCATTAAAATATCTCATTGTTTACAATAATATTCCCTCAACAGTCACCATTTTACAGCACAGTTCTGTATGCTCAAAATAAGCTGCTGCATGAATGAATGAGATGATGAAGAATGATGAAGATCTGCTTATGCTTTAATGTGTCCTTTCTGCAAGAGATTTACTATTACTTTCAAAAGTCAATCCCTGCTGATAATGTGATATGAAGATACGGCATGCATGTCTAGGGCAACATCTTAGAAGAAGCAGAAAAATTTAATCATTCCAGAAAGACATACTAATAATATCTTATTATTATTATTATTATTATTATTATTACATAAATAAAAAAAGCAAAAAAAAAGTTGTGATAACTAGAAAGCAGCTTTTTGTTATTTCACTGATTTTATGACTCAAAACGAGTATTTCCTACCTGGAAGATGGACTGGAGATTGTCTGTGAAGCTCTTGTGTCTCCTGTGAGTCTCGTCTCCTGAATCTGCTGACTCATATTCAACACTGTTAACAGATAAAACTACTGTAATTACACATTTACAGGCAAACACATACAGATATTCAGTCATTCAATCATTTTCCTTCAGTTTAGTTCCTTATTTATCAGGAGTTGCCACAGCAGAATGAACCACTAACTATTCCAGCAAATGTTTTACACAGCGGATGCCCTTACAACACCTATACACACTCTTTCACACACACTCATACACTAATGCCAATGTAGTTGATCAATTCCCCTATAGATCATGTGTTTGGACTTGTGGGGGAAACCGGAGCACCTGGAGGAAACCCACGCCAACACGGGGAAAACATGCAAACTCCACACACAAACACCAACTGACCCTGCCAGGACTTGAACCAGTGAGCTGCTTGCTGTGAGGCAACAGTGCTGACCACTAAGCTACTGTGCTGCCCCCAAATACAGACATATATCTTGCAAACACTGAAAATAAACAACATTCTGTAGAGCCACTGCTGCGTCACGTATTAAATCTAGATGAGAAATCACACACATAACACACGTCACTATTGAGTTCAGCAACTGAAAGACTTCAGAAAGTAGCTGTAGACAGAAAGATTATATGAATAAATATTTAATTTACAGTTTATTATTACACAAAACTTTTAAGCTGCAACAGCTATGATTGTTTATCAAATCTGTATTCAGACACATTTACTGAACAGTTTTAGCTGTAAACATCTTTTATATCCACAAGTAAGGAAACAATGATGAAAAACTTGAATTGAAGTGAATAATCTATATATGTGTGTGTGTGTGTGTGTGTGTGCGTGTTAAAATGACATGGAAATATTAAATTATGATTTAATGAAAAATAATCATAAGATCAGAAACTAAATCTGCCATCAGGAGTCTGTAAATGTCTTAATGAGCCACCAAAGTCATTCAGGAAGGGCTCTCTCTATTGGAGTGTTCAAATAATATGTTCAAAATAGTCCATGTGTGAGCAATAACGTAAAACACTGAATACCTTTCAGCAGATGATGGTGTTTTCTCTCTGAGGTCTGGAGGAGGATCTTTAGACCGGTCACTCTTCAGAGACACAGAGCTGGACACACATGATCCTGATCTCACACTGAACACACAAACACGCCAGAGGAAAATGAGCGTCACAACCTGCTGAATACAGTTTCATCCTAAATCAATATCTCTCTCGCCCATAATTATTTATCATATGAAATGTGTCAAGGCTCGACAATAAGGGCTGCCCGATGGCCCGGGGCCAGCATGCGAGACACTCTGGACACTATACATAATAGTTACTGACCCGATCAGGCCAGTGCTGCCTTGTCACTAAAGTTTAATTTGGCTGAGACTGTTTGTCAATTGTGTGCAAATACAGGGTGCTTATACGCTCAGGTCTGCATCTTATTAATTTGTCTGAGATCGCCAGGGTGAGACGGTCTCGGTTCAATTGAGCGGATCGATTGTAGTGAGAAAACAAAACGATCCAACAAAGTAACAAACCAGGCTGTATCACAGTGTATTATGAGTGTGTAATATTAATTTAGGAAAGTTGACCAAAATTAATCTTAAAATATGGTGTATTAATCTTGTTGTTTTGTTCATTTCTGTACTGACACTTTGACAAAAAGATTCACATTCATCTGCTTCATGATCTGAATGCAGTCAGGCTAATGTGATTATTATGTTGATGCATCAAGCAAGAACAAGAAGTGAAATGTATTTTAGAACTGGGTTTACAAATAAATGAAAAATACTAAATATTGACAGTACTATAGACTGATGTAATGAGCCTGTTTCTAAACTTAGGCATTTTCAACTAAACCACACATTAAACAATTCACTTTATTTAATCTAATCAGTGTATGTAATGGAAATTCATTTTTAGATAAACATGTGTAGTGGAAACTTACAGCAGAAACAGCGGAGCACCTGACGCACGTACAGAATGGGCCTTATTAGGATTTGACCTTGCAAGCAGTACAAACTAGATAGAACAGTGAACACACTTTGCTTCAGTGTCTCATTCTGTAGAAACTGTCGTCAGAATGGGCAGTATTAGGGTTTGACCTTGTAAGCAGTAAAAACCAGATAAAAGGGTGAACACACTTGACTTCAGTGTCTCACTCTGCAGAAACTGTTGTTGCTGTATGACTGTGACCTTCTTTGCAAAGAATAAAACTTTAAAAAGACATTCCGAGTAAGACTTTGTTTCTTGACCACAGAGAGCGCCTCTTTAAAAGAAAATTGCCACTACAGTGTATTTAAATTAAATCTACTAATTTAATTAAACATATTGTCTGTAAGAACAAGAAGTGAAATGCATTTTAGAACTGGGTTTACCAATAAAAGAAAAATACTAAATATTGACTGTTTAGTATTTGTATTAGGTATTTTCAACTAAACCACGCATTAAACAATTCACTTTATTTAATCTAATCAGTGTATTTAAATTAAATGTATTTATTTATTTAAACATATCTTCTGTAAGGGTTACATTCATGGAGCTCACCTCAGTCACTGTCATTAGTTGTCATAACTTTATTATTATTTTCAAATCAATTTAAGGTAATATATGCACATTTCAGAGGCTGTGCACTTTATGGCAGGGGTGCAATTTTTGGCATAACACCGCTTCATCTGTTATTTCTCTCTATATTGTAAGCCTGTAATGCATAATTCTAGCCCACATTTTTAATAGATTAATTCAATAGACAGATTTTTACAAAACTTGACAACTGAAATGAGGCCATGCATGAGAAAGTCTGACCGCTCTGATTTATGTGTGGTGACGATGTCTGTGGGTGTCAAAATTAAAGTGCACATTTTTGCTTATAATATCCATGTAGATTTTTTTCCAAGTTTAGTTTCATCAATTGTAAACAAGTCATTTTTAAATTGTCAGTCGTATTTAAAGAAAAGTTATGCTGAACAAAGTGTGAGTGTACAATTATGTTTGGCTTTTGACACTAAGAAATAGCTATTTACTTATTTTTTTAGGTGGGGCCAGTGAACATTTCGGCAGGGCAAGTACAAATCTGAACCACTGGCCCGATCGGGCCACTAGAAAAAAATCCTTAGCCTTGAACCCTGTGTGGAGTGTTTGTCACACAGAACTTGTTCATTTATCTCGTCTAAAATCTTTCTTTTTATCACAAACCCTTTGCTGACTATTGTAAAAGCCTGTAAACTCACTCTACTAACTCTAACTGTTTGAGTATTAATACTTTAGTCACTTAATACTACTTCAGTACTTCACTAAAATGTCTTGACTGGACTGTGGGAATAAAGTGTAATAATGTCTGATCTTCTAGAAACACAGGATCATATAAATGATGCAGTGTGATCATGTGTGTGTAGAGATGATCTACCTGACAGCAGGTCGTGTGTTTTCACTCTTAAATGCTATTGGTGGGATCATAGACGCGTCACTCTTCATAGACACACAGCTGGGCTCTGCTTCTGCTCTCTTCTGATGAACTGAACTAAAACAGAGAAGATTAAAGTTGAGCGCTGCACACACTGCACAAACCTGATATTAATCATTCTTCATTTACAAAAACACTTAAATTCATTTCCTTTATATTTGAACAGAAACTGTCTGAATGTGAAAATATCAGCAAACACAGATCAAGGCTCATTTCTAGTAGAGAAAGCCCAACAGAAATGCAGCACTATTAGAGCAGATTAGAGCTGAAACTAATCATCAAATCACTGAATGAAGTCCACAGTGTAGGTGTGGGAGGAGCTTAATCATGCAGGCGTGTCAATCATCATCACATGACTATATAAGCAGCAGTATAAACTGCACTGTGTCAGCTGACTGTTATTCCCGCCTCCAGCAGCTCCCCTTATCCTCCTCCTCATCACTCAGTCTGCAGAAGGTCACTCATTGGGGGTTTGTCTGCAGAGCTCCAGTCCAGACTTTGAGGACAGCAAGACAAGTTCATTTACCATCATCTATCATGACTGAATGAGCAGGAGAACTCGAGAAATATCAATTCTAGAAACCAAATGTGTTGATCAGCAGCATCTATGAGGCCAACACAACATGATGATGACTGCGCTTCAGTGAAAACAGACTCAGATCAGAGGAATGGCTGATCAGTACAGCACAGAAACAGCAGGGGAAAGTGTGCAGGAAAAGCCCTTTATGGCAGGAGATCGGGAACACTTTAGTTCAGCTCACAATTCATACTATTAACTACCGGCTTATTATCTGTGGAATGTGAACATATGAACTGCTCATTAGTAGTCATACAGTATGATCTTATTGTGGATCCCTAACCCTACCCAAAACCTAAACCCACCTTCTACCTCACTAACTATTAATAAAGCGCTGATTGGTTTGTTAACACCATCAATTGTGGCCTGAAGTGTAAAGCGGAGATCTTCAAGCACTATCCTGCAGAGCTCAGATACAACATCTAACATCTGAAACCCAACAGATCCACAACACTAATGACCTGATTCATTTATTATGAAAATACTCATCAGCTGCAGATATTAAAGAGATGATCTACCTGACAGCAGCTCCTGTGTTTCCACTCTTGAAAAACAATGGGTGATCCATAGACGCGTCACTCTTCATAGACACACAGCTGGGCTCTGCTTCTGCTCTCTTCTGATGAACTGAACTAAAACAGAGAAGATTAAAGTTCAGCGCTGCACACACTGGAGTCAACACAGCAGATTTACTCAACATTTCATCATTAAAACACTGTTTAAACAGCACTTCATGATACTTTTCATGATGATTGTACACAATCTTGCTGACTGTGTGTGTTAAATATTCAGACAGATTAAAAACACAACTAACAGAGAGTAAATATAATATCCTGTAGAAAATAATCATATGAAATGTCAAGTGTAGGACTAATACCTGCATCCTGTAGACAAATCCAGATCATCATGTGTGTGTGTGTCCTCCATGATGGATCTGAAGAGTTTGATCTCCAGCAGAAACTGATGAACAATCACAGATCTCCAGTCATTGATCAGCCTTCATAATTCAGCTGAATGCAGGAATAGATCAGCAGCTGAGACACTCAAATCCAGAAGCTCATCACGAGTAAACTAATGAAGAATCACAGCGTCATCCGTTTGATTATAATAACAGCATACACACATTCACATAAAGCTTACAGGTTTAGTCCAGACATTAAAGATTTAAAGCTGTTCTGTGTTGGTAAATGATGAATTCTGGTTGTTTAAAACTGCAACACAACAACTAAACACTTTCACTTTCGTTTCTGAAGGGCGGTGTTGTGCCGAAAATTGTGATCTCTGACCAGGGGGCGCTGTTGCACGAAATATTCGAGGTGGGGAAGACTGCAGACTTGGATCCAGACAGATCTACGGCGCAAGCAGTTTTATGGCCTGGGCAGTTTTACACCCCTGTTGCTCTTGATGCGTCCAGTAGAGGGAGGCAGTACAGTATTATTATAAGTCTCCAGAACTTTATCACACCAACCAAGCGCAAACACGATGAAGAGGTGTGTTAAATACGTGTTTAAAACATTAGCAAACATGAAACTTAAACATTTTTTTTTTATTAGATTAAGGTCGATATGAGTGTATGTCAACACAAACAAATTGGTGTAATATAACAGCAGTGTGTTAGTTTGACAAATGTTAGTTAACTACATGTTCTACCTCAACAAAAAAAGTAAATGAACATTAACCTACGTGAGAAAGTGTGTTATGTAGGTTAATTTTATTTTTATTTATTTTTTTTGTCTCAGCAAGGGAGTAAGTATTATATATCTAATAATTAATTTAAAGATATATATTTTCTCATAGATTAAACAATACACTTGCGTGGTCTGGGTTGTCAGAAAAAATCTACACTACAACTACACTACATTATACCTCCAAATTTGATTTTCTTAAATATTGAAATTGATCTAAACAGATATAAATATATATATATATATATATATATATATTTTTTTTTTTAATTGCATTGTATTCAATTACATTTAATATAATGCAATTCTTTCCCTGAGATGGGTTGTGGCAGGAAGGGCATCCACTGCGTAAAAACATGCTGGATAAGTTGGCGGTTCATTCCACTGTGGCGCCCCTAGATTAATAAAGGGACTAAGCCGAAAAGAAAATGAATGAATGAATGAATAAATGAATGAATAATGCAATCATTTTCTAGTTTAAACAATTACAATATATATAATTAAAATGAACTTAACAATTAAATCATATATATAAATGATTAGGGAAAATCACAATTACTAATGGTCTACTAATTTTTGTACATACAGTACATTTTATATATTAGCAATGAAGTTTGCATTGCACATGCATTCATATTGTTCATCATTTATACTTTCATAATATTGATTGTAACAATTTGTTACAAAGAAAATAATTAAATATGTTAAATACGGGAAAGTCAGAATCACAATTTGTAGCTGTAAGTAACAAAAAATAAATAATAATGACTTGGTCCTTTTGTTATACCTAAGTTATAATTCTTAAATCATAAATCAAATATAAAAAAAAAAAAAAATATATATATATATATATATATATATATATATATATATATATATATATATATATATATATATATATATATATATGTTCTGCATAGGTCCAGATAATATATAAAATGGCATGAAATGTTTTTTGCTTTTCATTTTCTATTCTTTACTGTTTCTGAGGATTAAGAATGTTTAGATACTCGGTCTGGAAACAAGTCAGAAACTCTTAAGTGAGGAAAGGATTTTTGCAGAGTATTTATACATGACTTTATTTGTTTATTTTTTAGTGATCAAGAATTTGACGCAAGGATTCAGCTTCATTTAAAGAAAACTGGCAATCTCTAGTGATATAGTTGTCAATAATTTTTTTTTTTTTTTTAAATAATGTTGTCTGGGGTTTTGTTTGTCAGGTAGGTAAATGGTCCTTGGAATTGTAGAAAGTAGGGAATTGTTTGTCTAAACGTTGTCTGGTAGTCAATACCACTGCATTCTTATCAAAGCACATCATTACTCCATATCACACTGTATTGTTTGGTTATAATTTTGTTATTTTCAAAATGCAACTTTATATATAAACAATACAACAAAATCCATATCTCTATATGAAGACGTATAACTAGGCTACAATTAACCGTTACACTATTCAACTATTAGTGTTTGTAATTTTTCTAATTAAATTAATCTAAATTAATTTGCAATTGGGCTTTTGCATATGTGAAATTATTTGGTGAGTGTATCAATTCTGCATATTATCTAGTACAGTGGTTCTCAAACTGTGAAATATGTCATGTACATGCTACACACATTTCAAAATTTATTAAAAATGATGTATATAATATGTCATATATGACATATAGCCTATATTTCTGTGGTAATCTGCCACGTTTTTTTTAACTTTGCAGAGTTGCTTTACTGGGCTATTGTAATTCAATACTGCTCATTTTGGTGGTACTTGGAGAGACTATTTTTTATGAGGTGGTACTTGATGAAAAAAAGATTGAGAACCACTGATCTAGTGTGTTTATAACTCGCTTTCTGAAACATTAACTTGGCGTTCATATTTAGCCTAATTAAATAAAAAATATATATATTTATGAACAGGACATTTAATAATCTGGGAGCGTTGACTTCAAATGTTTTATTTGGCCATGTATCTTTCTTTCATCCCCTCGACTGGACGCATTAGGAACAACAGGGGCGAAAGCTGATCCAAGTCTGCAGACGCCCCATATAGGGAATAATTACTCGGGAACGCCCTTGGCCGCTCATGCACGCGACCATGACCGCGCAGACACTGGAATCAAGCGATCCGCGTCGAGCGGTGCTGTAAAGCGTGTTTTAAATGCGGGATTCAGCAGACATGATCATATTGAAGATCATAGGAAATATTTTGGAGAACTTTGGTTCACTGAACAGCGACTCCTGATCACAGATTTCATCTCAACTGCGTCACATCAGGAGTTCAGTAATACACCCGTATAAACACTCTGAACACAGCAGACAGGGACATGCGGGGCCCAAAGGACATGCGGGGGTTCACATTCAATCACACGACATGCAGGAGGATACATGCGGGACCTTACATGAAGCAGTGTAAACGCAGGACGCGAGACAGACTGTAAACACGACACACACCGCTTCTTCTTCTGCCTGTGTGCTGACTCTTCTTCTTCTTCTTTCTGTTTTATGGCGACTAACTCATTAAAAGCTTTATCGCCACCTACTGTACCGAATCTTACTCCGATGATGGGTCTGAATATTAGAAAGGGCAACAGAAAGAAACGAGAAGGGAGGGAAAGGACGAAAAAAAAAAAAAACTTGGATGTTTCATATTCTCCAATCTTTGCATCTAGACCACATACCCATGTCAGCGCTGCGTGTTCAGCTCCTCTAACATAAAGGGCCTTCATGACAATGATTGAGTATACTCTCATCCATAAATATTAGACTATAACCTAAACCCGAATACTCTATATACACCTAATAAACGCTCTATATACTTGCCAATCTATTATACCTTTTCCTAGAATAATTTTATATATTGTTTTATCTTCCCCACACTGACTGAATAACATATCGCGATGTTTATTATACTTGCTACATATAAATAGTGCATGATCCACATTTTCAGTTACACCACATACATCACATTTCCCATCCTCATGTAAACCCATCAACGCAAGTGTTGCATTTAACCCTGTGTGTCCCAGTCTTAATCTTGATAACCACACCTCTTCCTTCCTATTTCTTCCTTGATTTAGTGTTGTCCCTACTGTCTGTATAATACTATAGTGCCATCTTCCAGTATTACTATTATCCCATCTAATTTGCCATTTATTTATTAGTTTTTCCTTTATATCGATTTTGCCTCTCTTTTCCCCAGAGGTACATTTACCTCCACCTCTTGCTTATTTAGTGCTTCCTTTGCTAATTTGTCAGCAACTTCATTACCAGATACCCCAATATGTGATGGAACCCAGCAGAAATAAACGACTACTCCTATTTCCTTCAATCGATATAAAGATAAATAGATTTCTGTTATTAAATCCTCTCTATGTGATTTTGAGTTTGCTATACTAACTAAGGCTGAAGATGAATCTGAGCAGATTACTACTTTCTTTGGTCTGACTTGTTCAACCCATTGTAATGCTATAATTATAGCTGTTAACTCTGCAGTGTATACTGATAGATTATTGGACAGTTGTAAACTAATATTTACTTTGAACTCTGGAATATTAACACCTATTCCTATCTTTTTACTACTAGGTTCTTTGGACACATCTGTAAAAATTTGTAAAGTTGAATAATACTTATTATTTAAAATCGCATTTACCACGCATTTTTCCACTATATTCATCTTTAGGTTTACTTAGCAAGCTTACATCTATGAGTGGTTCAGGTGCTCTCCATAGTGGGACATCAGTAAGTGGTATATTGGGACAGAAGATCATGTTGTCTATACCATATTCTTTAGCCAACTATTTACTCCTCCATCCAAAACTATCCTGTCCTTCATATGAGTATTCCCAGCAATCTTTTAGTATTTTACGAGTAAGATGACTACTAACTGATTGTTGGAGATTTACCCAGTATGTCATCATCAATTTTATCCTTCTAAATTCAAGAGGCATTTCTCCCATTTCTACCCTAATTGCATCTACAGGGGACGTTTTAATTGCTCCACAACATAATCTTAACGCTCTAATTTTCCTAATAAAGTCTTAGATGCAGATTCATAGACAATGCAGCCATAATCAAAACAGGATCGAATCAATGCTTGATACATGCACAGCAATGCACTACGACTAGCTACCCAGCTGTGACTAGCAACTGAACGCATACAATTTATGATCATTTTACATTTTGTTTCAATTTTATTTATATGAATTTTCCATATTAACTTTTCATCTAACCATAAACTAAGGTATTTAAAAACAGGTACTCTTTCCAATATCTGATCATATAACTTTAAATCTGTATGTACTATTTTCTTGTTTTTTGTAAATATCATGTATTTTGTTTTTAATACTGAGAACTTCAAGCCCCATTCCAGAGACCATTCCTCAACTTTTTTAATTGATTCCTGTATTCCTTTATTAACATTTCTAATATTGCGTCCTCTTTTCCATAATGCTCCGTCATCCGCATAAAGTGCAAGTCCTATTCCTACCTTGTTAACCTTATCAAAAACATCATTAATCATTATATTAAATAAAATGGGGCTAATTGCACTGCCTTGTGGTGTACCATTTGTAATATTAAAAGCAGCTGATAATTCTTCTCCCATTTTAACTTGAAAGGTACGTTCAAATAAGAAGTCTAACACCCAGTTATAAAATTTTGCACCTATACCTATTTTGTTCAATTTAATAAGCAATCCTTCCCTCCATAATGTATCATAAGCCTTCCCGATGTCAAAGAAAACTGCTAACATATACTCTTTCATTATAAAAGCTTTCCTAATTTCATTTTCGAATAAAATCAAGGCATCATTTGTGGATCTATTCTTCCTGAACTCACTTTGAAAGGTTGTTAATATTCCCTTTTCTCTAATATATAATTTAGTCTCTTCACAGTCATTTTTTCCATTACTTTACATATTGTGGATGTGAGGGCTATAGGCCTATAACTGCTAGGCTTTGTTTTGTCTTTCCCAGGCTTGACTAATGGGAGCACGACTGCAGTTTTCCATTGCTTGGGCAAAACACCCTCATTTCATATACGGTTAATAGACCTTTTACGCACTTCCGCATTTTTCGAACGGAAATACGTCAATGTAGTGCATTAGAACTTCCTGTTATCATAGCGGCAGATACGAAAAATGGCAGAGTCGAAGAATCGCAGTTTCTGTTGTGTTCCAGGCT